CAACATGTGTGAGGACCGTTGTATACTATTAGTTCTCATATGTTGTTTTTTCTCTTCCTCTTCGATACGCAAACAATCCAATTGCATCTGTTTTCGCGTCGGGCACAGTAGTATACATATTTTTCTATCGTGGAGCGGTCGACTCTCGATTGAACAGAATTACGGATATTGTAATTTTTTATAGCCATCATCGCTTCTTCTTTGCTTGAAAACTCCATGCCTAAAGATAACTCATCATTATTTATTGATGATTAATATTCATAGTTACCGAGATGAGACATATTCGCAAATTCTGGCCCGTACATTGCACCATAATCAGCTACATACATGTGTACTGGAGGGTCAGCTTGTGCCACATTTGAGGGAACTTCATCTACATCATCATCGGAGTTGAATTGCGGTGATTATGGGTGAATGAATAGTCCAGTCTCAGCACCATCCACACTAGGCTCACGAAGTGGTTCTTCTGGTGGAGATGATGGTTCCTCCATGCTCTCCATATTTAGGTCGAAGAATCTACTACTTGCACGTCTTCCCCTTGAACTAGAAGGCATATCGACATTGAGATCGAAAAATCTCGCAGTGGAATGCCTCTCCTGGAGCTTGAAGCCATCGTGTCAAATGGAAAACTGCACAGATTGTTGCGTTGATGGCATCTCCATATTAAGGTCAAAGAAATTTACAGATGAATGCATTCCCCTTGAACTGGACGCGATGTTGCCATATGGATTGTTCGTGGACCTATCTCGGTACATATCGTAAGGAGTTATAGATGAATGTCTCCCCATTGAAGTTGATGTGATGGCACCATGATGGGGATTTCCCATTATGGCGTTAAAAATCATTACACATTACTGTAGTCGGGCTGTCAACTTGATCAACTTGTTCATCCAGCCCATAGTGGGAGCTTAATGACTGACCCCGAACAACACGCACTTGAACAAAATTTGCATACATCTCAATATCGGCGTCTGAATAATTACTTTGAGAATCAACCATCATTTCAACATCATCATTATTCGATAGTTCGAACGTTGTATAAGTTAATGACAACAATGATGTTGGAAATCTGTACTGCAACGACGACATTCTTCTACTACTTCTAACATGAATCTTCCTCGAAATCTTCGTTATCAGCTCCTCAAGAGTTATGTTTCTCTTGAATGATATTTTAACACGCTCATTTGATACGAAAATAACGCCAGTTTCATCTTCTCGAATTTCTCCATCATAATAAATAATAACTGAAAGTCGCGTCATTCTTAGAGTTTAAAAGTGCGACAATATTATATCTGCAAAAAAAAAACAACTGAAACAAACCTGATTAAATAAATAATATATGAAAGAAAATATAACACAATAAAATTTTTACACATGAACGTAAATAATTTAAATAATATAATTTTATATTATTACCTGCACTGCAAAAATATTTCAATGTATGCTCATGCTTTCCAATTTTACAAACACATAAATTAATTGAAAACAATTAGTATAATATTTTTTTTCAAATAATCATAAATAATTATAAAAAAATAATCTAACAAAATTACCTTATAACGAAAAATCAAACGAACTTCTGAATCAAATATAAGAGAATTGTCGGGTGTTATTTACTGGTTGAAAGGATTGTTGGCGAGAGATTTTAAGGGGAGAGGACTATTTATAGCCGAAATATGATGCTTTAAAGCCGAGAAGTTCGGATAAATTATGCAAGGAACGGTCCCTGCACCGCGCCTTGCATTATGCATGTATGATAATTAAGCATGTGATAATTGAAAAGAGCGGCCCATGCACCGCGCTATAGCCCTACGTGGAGTAAGGCGCGCCCCAGGAGCCGTTCTATATCCCACGTGACGTCAACTCAGCGTAAAACGTACTGCAAAAGGCGCGCCTTACTGCAAAGGGTGTTAGATCAAAAAAATAATTTGAAGAGTTCTAACAGAAAAATATAAAATCAAATGGTGACATATCGGGAAAAACACATGAGATTAATCAAATCCCTAAATTTTAGAGTTAATGAGGAAACTAGCGCAATGACGTGATTGGTGCCCTAATTCTTTTTCTTGTACCTCATACTTCTTCTTTTAATTGCTTAGCTCTCTTATCTTTAAAGTTGCTACTTAATCATAATTGCTTGCACCATTTACATCCAACAAAATATTTGCCTCCTTTAACATATAAGGTCGATTCCCCCTACTTTATAATATTTATATCTTTACCGTAATATGCGTTATAACTTTTATAATATTTTCGATCGCTCCTGTTTTCATCCTCTTCGAATCTTAAATTAGGGTTTTTTACAATTTTACAACATGGGTATCCACAGTAATTTTTGTTTGTTTTGAGATTTTTATTTTTCTATCATTTTAACCATGAATAAAATTATGCTTCGTCTCGTGATCATTAACTTTTATTTTTTATTATTAAAAATATATAGGTAAATTTTAAATTAGAATTTCTAATTTTAATTTATTTTGATTTTTCTCTCATTTTCTATGATTAATTATACTCTACCTCTTGAATGGGAATCATAACTTCATCACTGATTTTAAATAAATAAAAACACTAACAATTTTACAAATTTAAGTCATTGTAACCGTAATAAAACGTTTGGGGGGATGAATGCCTTAATTTTAATGTAGTAGTAGTATACATGTTAATAGGTTTCGGTTTGGGTCGATTTCGATTTTAATTAGTGTGTGTTTATCATTTTCGATTTGAATTCGGGTTAGTTAAATTTGAGTTGGGTCTTATATTCAATTATTTCTAGATTGAGTTGATTTTGAGCTCGAATTGGGTGAATTTGGGTTTAGATCGTATTAGATTATGGATTTTTTATATTCATTTATATAAACTCAAATTAATGTATGAACTATTTTGAGTTTAATATAATTAAATTCAAAATAATTTATAATTTTTAATCATATATTTCTAATTGATCATTAAATATTACGCAATTATATTAACTAGTTAATGAATAATCATTTGATTAATCAATTTTTTAATGTTAATGCCTTAATTAAAAAATAGTTTAATGAGCACAATAATAACCCTAATACTTAATTGACCAAATGGATAGTTTATCCTAAAAATATATTATTCTTTTTCCATAGTCCTAAAACTATATTAGACCCCGGCCACTTGCATTATTTTGAACTGAGAAATGAGAAATTTATTATTTTTTCCGTCGTTAGAGATAAATAATCAGAAGAAGTAAATTCAAAATTTATTAAATATTTTTAAAACTGTATTTATAGTTACGAGAATTAATTTAACGACATTTTGAACGAAGTATTTGAAGTTGATCGGAACTTAATTCCAGATATTTTGGCCAAGTATTGACACAGAGTTGTACCTAATTTCCGTAAGCGTTAAATACACATAAAGAAAGCATATAAATATAATAAGGAACAACGAATATAGTCAATAAATTAAGCAGGTAAGACGGTGGAGTTGGTTTTTCGGCAGTTACGGAAAGTATAAGAAAACACGGGCGCAAACCGGACCGTTACGACCGCGTGACGGTAAGTTGGAGTGGGCAGTTAGGGAAAAAGAAAAGTAATGTGCCGTTGGGTTTCCCATGACAGCCTGGACGGACACCATTGGTGTACCATTCGTACTTGGTTATCGCATCATATCACCATATTTTGTACTGTAATTCCAAAAGTGTCAGCACCAAAACAGAGTGATATAGGTGTTAAAATAATAATTATTATATTTTGATGTTTCAAATTTTAATATTAAAAATATTAAAGATGTGTGTTATCACTATTAATAGTTTAAAGTTATCTTTAAATATATATTGTTATTAAAAAATTTCAGAAGTACAAGCACGAATCAAGTTATCTCGTTGTAAAAAAATTATTGTTATTCTTTAAGGTCTAGGGTTCGAGCACCGGTAATATTAGGAGTATGAGTGTTCAGTATTAGATGATTGAAAGTTATATTTAAAAAGATATTACCTTATACTTATCATAATTAAATAAAAAATATCCAAAAGTAAAAATTAATTTCATTTAATTTTAAAAGTAAATTACACAATTTATATCTTACTTATCATTTATTTTGATCACTCATCATAAAAAAAAATAAAACTGTTGATATGATATTATTTTAATAATAATATAATATTAATTAATGAATTATGATGATATATAAGTATCATTGTTAATCTTTTAACGATTAATGATCAAAGTAAAATTAATATTTAATGTTAGATATAATTTTAAAAAATAATTAGATAATTAAAATAAAATAATAATAATTTATATACTAAAAACCTAATATATTGTAATTTTAATTGAAAAAAGTGGAGGTTTATCCAGAAGTAAAAAGTAAATGTAATATTGAATAAATAAATAAATAAATAAATAAAAATAGTGCCAGTTGAACCGATTTTTGTCAATATTTGCTCAACTTACCCTCGATTCCGCTACACAGAGTTTGTCGTATTGTGCGCCAACTCAGCTCTGGCGCGTGTCGTTTGTACTTCCCATACAATGAATATGTTCTCCAGCCTGGCTAACTCCCAACCGTACTTTTATTTCTTTCCCATTGGGTAATATCAAATTAGAACTTTAATTTTTAATTAACTGCCCTGATTTGTTTAAATAAATGTGATTTTTTAGTTATTAATGACGAATTTAAATTTGGAGGAAATGAAAAATATTTTGGAGGTTTCGAGATTTCCACCGTTTAACTTGCCCAACTTAATTACCCAATACGCAGCAGATAGGTGGGAGCAGCACGTAATCAATATTTGATATTTTAGGAGACATTCACAGTTATACGTGTAATTAAAGACGTTGGGAGTTGACGCGTGTCCTCTGACAGCTGTATACTAGTAACTTGTCCTCCCTGTAGGAGTCCTCATCACTCAACCGGTGATTACTCACTTTTACCGGTTCAACACGTCATCCTTATCCCCTTCCATATATATTTCTCTTCCCTCATTTTCTTCCTTATTCTTCTCTCTTTACACAAACGTGAGGCTCCGCCTCAACCACCGTCGTAATCATCCCTCCGGCGGCCTTCTCTCAGCTCTCTCTTATCTGTAAAGATATGATATTAGCTTAGATTGATCCTTTTCTGGGTTTTGGGCTTAATCTGTTCATACTGTTTCTTTTCTTTTCTCCTCTGTTTTTTTTTATAAACTGTAATGGCTTCTACAAGGAAAGATGTGGATCGAATCAAAGGTCCGTGGAGTCCAGAAGAAGATGAGGCTTTACAACGGCTGGTTCAAACGTACGGACCCAGGAACTGGTCTTTGATAAGCAAATCAATACCGGGTCGATCTGGAAAGTCGTGTAGGCTTCGATGGTGCAACCAGCTTTCTCCCGATGTTCAACACCGTCCTTTCACTCCCGAAGAAGATGAAACGATTATGCAAGCCCATGCTCGATTCGGTAACAAATGGGCTACCATCGCCAGACTACTCAGTGGCCGTACCGACAACGCAATTAAGAATCACTGGAACTCCACGCTGAAGCGAAAAAGCTCATCCATGGCTGATGATGTAAACGATGATTCCCCACAGCCGCTTAAAAGATCGGCCAGCCTAGGAAATGGTAACAATACATCGGGCCTTTACTTGAATCCCGGAAGTCCTTCTGGATCCGACTTGAGTGACTCGAGTTTACCCGCTGACACATCGATTTTCACCCCGATAACAAGAACAAGTTCTCTGGTCCCTTCTAGTCAGCATGTGGAAACGGCCTCGTCGACAACGGATCCACCAACCTTACTCAGTCTCTCTTTGCCAGGTTCCGAAAACAAGGACGGAGCAGCCGTGTCCCCACCCGCATTCAACCCGGTTCCAAATCCGACCCAGATTGCAGCGCCATTAGTGGCCCCAACTGTGGGAAATGGCGAGATGAATGGGATGGAGAAACCGTTTTTTAGCGCAGAGTTTTTGGCGGTGATGCAGGAGATGATAAGAAAAGAAGTGAGAAGTTATATGGCAGGGATTGAAAAAAAGGAGCTTTGTTTGCAAACAGAGGCTATTAGAAATGCTGTTGTGAAGCGTATTGGAATTAGCAAAATCGAGTAGGCGATATGAATCAGGACCAAAAAAACGAAGTTGCTTAGTTTCTTTTCCATGGGTTTTCTTTCTTTCTAAATTGGTGTCTCAGTTATTTTGGTTATAGAAATAATCATTTTGGTAGTGTACAGAGGGGAAAACAATGGAGGAGCCATGGAATTAGAGATTTGAGTTGGGAGAGAAGAAAAAAATTATATTACATAAAATCGAAATGAAAAAAGAGGATAAAATCCCTATTTTCCCATGAAACTGATGTGCAATTTTTCTCTCAATTAATTGCTTGAAGAAAAGCAATCGAAACTATAAATGAAAATTTTATAAGATTTTAAAAATAGTTTTTTTATCATAATTTGAAGATGGATAAAATATAGAATATTAAAAAACTTGTCAATTTGGTTTTAAATTGATTTTTTTGTCAGACTTCTTAGATTTTTACTAAAAAAATCCTTTAAAGCATCATTTATCATTATTTTTAATTATTTTTAGAATTGTGTTAGATTCCTATAATAATATCTTTTCGTGTTAAACGTTTAATATTAAATATTCAAGATTTTTTCCGGAAAACCATGATTTGATGTTCTGTTTTATGGTTTAAAACTTTCATTCTAGGAATTTGAATTTATGGTTTAAGATCTATTTGAAATTTTATTTACAAGGGAATTAAATAAATATTGATATAAATTATTAAAAAAAATATGTTTTATGGTTTAAAAATTTCTTATTATTGCTTAGAGTTTCTATATTGTTCAGGATATTTAAAATTTTATCATATATTTATATTATTGTGAATCCAAATTAATGTCAAATAATATTTTGGTTCTCTACGTAATTAAATATTCGATAAGCTTAATAACACCTTTAATCAATTTTATTTCATTACAGTTAAAAGGGAAGTCATGCTCATATACCTTTAAGATATGAAAAAAATATGCAAACATCATTCATGTATCTCCCTATTTAATGTGGATATATGAACATGTAAGGATACTAAATGCTTGAAAGAACTCGCAATTGTACCCTCAGTCTTCTAGATTTACTTAATATGAGGTCATTACACTTTTCACAAAGGTTGTGTCATCTTCGTAATACAAAATCTATGAATTATTCGCAAAAAAATTAAACCAACATCATATTTTATTTTACAGAATTTTCTAATTCGTAATAGAATCTGATGATTAGAGTAATTGACAGACGATTGATGTTGTGATGAAGATGATGAAGACGAGAGGAAATTGAGTAATACAACACTATTTATAGCCCATATTACATTTGAGTGACCCATAACAGAATACCCAACGGCCTAACAGCCTTCACACTCTTCAGCTTTAATACTTTGATAATCCGATGTTAGGGTATTACAATAACACCGTACTCCAAAAGATAGCTATTGAGGTGTGAGAATTTAAATTCATACTGGGGTGATAAAACATTCAAAACAATCTCACCACAATTGGCCAAGTTATCACATATATTTTTAATTTTCATCAAATAATCACACATGATTAGATCCCATTTTCTTTTAGAATGCAGAAGCCTTCTATAAGACCCAAAGAAAATGAAACTGATTCAACAAGAGGAAAAAATAACATCTGAAACTATTTTTCAAATCAACCTAGACGTTGTTTTTCCACTGTAGATGCGATGCAGAGTATTCCATATATCAGACGCAATGTTAAGGCCTATTAGATGTGGAAGAACATTTTCATTAACTGTTGACAAGAGCCAAGGCATGAGCTCCATCTTGCTATTCAAACTACTCAAACTATGGATTTATACTAACCACATCATCTTTAGTGACATATTAAGAAGGGACAACAACTATATTGTCTATAAATCATAACAACCGATGAGTTTTAATGGTGAGATAAACTTGTTAATGCCATAGCAAATAATTATGACCATCAAGCACTACATTAACTTTTTTTTTTTGTGGAAAATAATCAACTAGCAGCAACTTGACTAGAGTTGAACGAACGAAATATTACTATCAGTTTGATCAGTAAGAGGAAGAGTGTTATGTTAGGTTTTTTGAAGCTCAAATTGACGACCGAAAAAGTTTGCAAGAGGGGTGAGCTGGCAAATATTGTTTAGGGAGTAAGGAGAAAGAAAAGATAGTCAATTTTTGTAACCCCTCAGACCGATGCGGGTGACTCGACTCGATCCAATCTGAGATATCACATTAGAGCCACCGGAGCGACCTACAGTAAAATATCGGAAAAATTAAACTTTTTGTTAAAACGCTTAAGATCATAAAACAATTTATAGATACAAAAGTAAAATTTATCAATATACAGAAATAAAACAGATATCTGACTCGGATATAAAAACAAAATACAAGCTACATGCCCCCTAATCACATGCACCGTACTCCGCAAGAAACGCCGGTAAAACTCTCCTACTGACGTCGATAGTTGCACTAGTTCAATTCTTTTAACCTGAAAATGTGAGTAATAGAGTGAGCTTTGGAAAGCTCAGTAATACATAACTACCAGATGATGCTGAAAAACATGCAGATAACACATAAGCATATGTTTCCTTATTGTTTCGGACATCTACAGGTTTTTATACAGAGCTGAGGTCCCAGTGATATTTTAGATAGTAACAGACAGTAAGCTTTCAGTTCAGAGGAAAATATTTCGGATGACTAGGGTTCAGGATATCAGAATAGGTTATCTAGTGTGTTCCCACAAAATCAGTAAAAAGGTACAAATCTTTTTTTGAAATAGTAGCAGTTAAAAACCATAGTAATCCTTTTAACCGAATTCCATATGCAGTTCCCGAGAACTACACCCATAAGGACTTACCCTAGGCCCGAAGGGCGTAGGTGCCAACCTAAGGGAACACATTGGGTCCATAAGGTCTTACCCTAGTCGGAGCGTAGGTGCCCACCTGAGGAGAGTGCCCTTAGGCCTATAAGGACTTATTCAATGCACACAACAGATGAGCCACCCTAAGGGAGTACCTTAGTGTCCATAAGGTCTTACCACTAGGCACATTAGGCCTAGGAGACCACCTAAGTGTCGCCTTAGGTTCATAAGGAATTACCAGTCGATGTTGAACCTATAAAAGGAATTACCAGCAGCAACTGAACCTGCCAGAGATAGGAATTACCAGTCGGTGCAGAACCTATACAAGGAATTACCAGTAGCAACTAAATCTTCCAGAGTCTTTATATAAATCCCAAAGTACCCCAAATAACACATTTTCAGTCAGTAAACAAAGATATCAGAAATCGGAACAGAGATCAGAACAGAAATCAGAGAAAACATTCATGTGATCAGGGAACACACTAGAGGTTCCAGATATTGTTCGGAGATACTGGATAATCTTATCAGGCAGAGAAATAGGGATCTTTAGTATACCGATAGAATGTCAAAAGTTAGAATCACTATCGAAAGAGTTCATTAGCTGATAGGATCATCAGTTATTTAGAACGTGATTTATCAAGATCATATAGTATTCGGATAATTTTCGGAGGCACTATGAAATCAGATACTGAAGAACATTTCAGTCGTGACAACGTAAATTTGCAAAGGCCAATGGAACAGATAAGAACGTGAGGAGCAGATTTATCTCGCAGAGGTAAGGATTAACTGAAGAAGTCTGAAGCAGGTATGGCGAAACCGCCTATGTCACACGCCAGCTAGATGACCTACTTCACGTGCAAGCAAGCCTTAATTATTCTGACAGCAGCCTTTCCTTTTTAAGTCTAGGCATTTAATAATGACTATTTAAGGAATCTCCAAAAGCATGCAGAGCCCTAGGAGATCTTTTCTTATAAATAGCCAGCCGTAGCCGCCAAAGAAAGAAGGTAAGGAATAAGAGAGAAGAGCTTTACCCAAGGCATGAGCGAGCAACTGCAGTGCTTTCTCACCGTTTACCAACCAACCTTCCTTGGTGTCCTCCATAGCCAGACGATAGCAGAGCGGTGATCAGGTCTCGAGAGAGGCTGATCACCAAGGTAGGTGCGGTGCTGATCAGCTTCCTTTGTTCTTAAACTCTTTATCTATTTGGGGTTGTATTAAACGGTGAATCTTGGATGATTTTTTATAGCACCATGACTGTCTTACTTGGTGTTAAACTTTGTTTTGCCTAAACAAATATTTTATGTTTTATGAATGATGGATTATGTTTTGGTTATAACTATTTTGCTCATTGTTTAAATATTTTACCTTACGCTGTAAGAGCATCGAGAGATCGCCTGGGGTTTTGGTAAAACATGTCTTGGCAATATAAGAGCATCGAGAGATAGCCTTTTGTCTAGATAATGATTCTTATATTCGAGAGAATTAAGATAGATCCATGTGAGCAATGGAATGAATCCGGGATGGTGAAGTTATAACTCATTTACCTTAGAGATAAGGAGTGAGTTTCAATCAACTAAAAGGGATAGACGCTAGAGTAGGATAGACAACACCTACAGTTTACGCTGAGAGGTATTGCTACAACAACTGTTTGACAAACCAAGGGTTATAGTTAACACTGAGGAGTATTGCCATAGCAACCGTCTAAGAATACCTAGTAATCCTGTCAGGCAACTTTAGCAAGTCATAATAATTCATTTTAGACTTAGAATAATTGTTGTCAATATAAAAGTTTAGCATAAGTGCTCTGTGATAAGTCTGAATATGTGAGGTTGTATGCATTATATTTAAATCAATACTTGTCTTGTTTTATTTTATTCCAGCATTATGCATACTTATTTTGCCTCAACCAAACTTTTTTGCAACCATTATATTACTACTTGTTTTATTAATATTAGTTCTTAAGTTGACAACCTAGTAGGAATTAGTTTGTGACACTAGTTCTAGTTGTGGTGAAAATAAATTTTCAATCCAATCCCTGTGGAGACGATACTCGCTACTATATTACTTGCATCGATTGTGTATATTTTCACAGATTTGCTTGCCTTAGCATATACATTTACAAGAGATCAAGTTTTTGGCGCTGTTGCTGGGGATTGGCAACTGACGAAATTTTCAGCCATAACAAGTTCTTTTTGTGTCACCTTATATTTATTTAGTCTAACGTAGTTTATTATTTTCTTTTGTATATTTTTATTATTGCATGACCTTGAGATCTGTTGGTAAGCCTTTGGAACTATTCAACCCTGAAGTTGAGCAATCATTTAGACAAATGTTGCATGCCCAAAGAACTAGAGAACAATTAAACCAACTC